AAAAGTATTGTTGAAACAGCCATGGTAATTACCTATACTATTTGGGGTTTCCTCATTATAATTAGAGTACCAAATACCCCGAAACCCTCTTCTAATTATCAAGGCCCCTAAACCCTAAACCCTTATAGTAGCCCTTATAAAGAGCCCTTTAAGGACCCCTTTAAAGGAACCGCCAAAAACCCTATCCGAAAGCTGAACCCTAAACCCTAATCTTGATGGAAGGCCCCACCTCGAAAGTGCCAAGCACGGCAACCCGCCCCTCACTGGTAACAGGGTTTTAGGGTTTAGGGGTTTTGGGATTTAGGATATAGGATTTAGGGTTTAGGGTTTAGGGTTTTAGAGTTTAGGGGTTCTGGGATTTATAAGGTTTAGGGATTTGTTTCCCGATCTGGCACGGCATTCCGAGGATGATGGTGATCGAGCCTTTCTTGGACCCCAACTGGATCAAAGAGCCTTCGCCGTCAGCGCTTCGGGCGAAAGTCATAGGCGCCAAGAGGATGGCCCAGTCCTCCTACAGAGGGGCCTTTGGCTTGGGTTTAGGGTTTAGGGTTTGATTATGTCCCAGATCCTAGATGGCGGCGATCAGCTCAAGAGTGTCTCAGGCAACTGGGGAGGGAAGACAGCACTTTTCCCTCGCGATTCCGTTGCTTTCCGCACTCTCGCGGTTTTCTGGGTGCGCAGGGATCCGGAGAGACTGTCGTCGTTGCTCCGAGGCATCGTATGTGCTCGCGGTTCTATGGCTCTCAACTTGCAACGGCGCATGCGGGCACCTGGGTTGAGGTACTCACGAGACTGTTTGCTTGGCGCAGCATGGTGTCGACGACCGCTCCCTTCGTATCACCTAGTCATCATGGCATCTACCGACGGTCCCTCTGCTTTGGCGCATGTTACCTCGGCCATGCAACACATCAACAGTGGTGATGCTGGCCCGCTCTAAATGCTGGAACTAGTTCCGCAGGATTGGGTTGATCGAGTCTCTCGCCTGTAGTCCCTGTAGCTTCTGTCGTGGCTGTTTCGGTGTCTGGTGAAGTGATCGACAACCGCGCGGCTGACGGACCTCTGAGTCCGAGCGAGAGAGAGAGAGAGAGAGAGAGTGGGTTTAGGGTTTGGGGGTTTGGGGTTTAGGACATTACTCACAACCGGCTATGGATCGTGTGTGTGTGTGTGTGATTATTTGTGTTCGAGGTGGTTCCCGCGAGTTTCCTGAGCAAGGTAAGGAAGTGCAGTCATGAGAGCTGAACCTCCGTATGCTCAGAGGCTCAGACCTTCAGGCGATTGCAGAAGTTCCGATGCATTAGAAGGGTTTCGGGTACAGGGGTTTAGGGTTTAGGGAACCGCCTCCAATCTCTTCTATCAGTTAGGACTGGGTATAGAGGCACATGACATTGCAAGGGACGGTGCAAGAGCAGAGTTTGAACCTAAGTCTAAACGATTTCGGTTTAAGGCTTGCCTATCCAATGTAGTTCCTTCTGGGGGTTACTTTATAGGATCCTAAATTTATACCGAGTTGGTCAAATCTAAAGAATTCGAGTTTTCAGCCAGGCGGCGCGCATTGCAGTGCTGAAAAACCCAGGCCAATTGGGGAGGGATGCAACATTGGCTAAGTTGCTCATGCTTTACCGCACCAACCCATGGTTTAGCTTCAGGGCTTTGGGCTTCGGGTTGGTAACGGAAGGATTGCGTGGAGTCGCTAGCTAGATGTGCCGACAGAGCCCTGTATGTGTCTGCATGCCAAAGCTCTCGTGGTTCAGGCACGACCACCCCACTTAGAACCAAGGCTTCGTTCATGTCGAACTAAATCTGTACGAAGCCTTTCAAAACCCAAGCCCTGCAAAGTCGTGCGGACCCCACGGACTCGAAAATCTTAGGCCTAAAAGCCGGCATTCCTTTGATGTAGGGGGTCTCAATAATTCGTACTAGGGCCTTACTAGGGATTTCCTCGTCATCCCTGCAGATATGTATATGTATATAGAGATAGACAGACAGATCAAAAAGATAGATATTGAACCAAAAACCTAAAGCCCCCTTCTTCCAATCATCAGGGCCCTTTATTACAGACGTCAACGTAACCTCAGCCCCATATTCTCAAACCCAACTGGCCCTCATTTTGGGGGATTCCAGCCGTGGTGCATGGGTAACTTGGCTCTACAGAGCTACCGGTTGAGGGTTTAGGGTAACACAGGGGCCTTAATAATCAGAATAGGGCTTGGGGCCCACTATATAAAAACGGAACCCCAAATTCTAATCATTAAGGCCCCCTACATTAGGGTTTAGAACCCTAAACCCTAAACCCTAAACCCTAAACCCGAGGGTTTACGGTTTGGGGCGACAGAATAAAACCGCGACTGTCGGCGACTCGAAGGCCATGACCCCCCCCCCTTGTCTTGAGAGTTTAGGGTTTAGGGTTTAGGGTTTAGAGTTTCTGAACCCAAGCCTTAGATCCTCGACGTCCACAATATAGGGGCCTTACTGATTTGAATAGGGCTTGGGGTAGATTATACTATAATTATAACAAGGAGCCAGATTCAAAAATATCAAGGCCCCTACATGAACCCTAAACCCTAAACATCCAGACCGTAAGGTGCACTTGCAGGAATCCTAGCCCTAAACCCTAAACCCTAAACCCTAGATCCTGGAGCCTAACCCCTGGAAGACGCTATGAAACTGCAAGGGGAGTCCCGGGCCCTAGATCCTGGACCCTAAACGGGTTTAGGGTCAAGGGTTTAGGGTTTAGGGTTTAGGGTTTAGGGTTTAGGGTTTAGGTTAATAGCGCCCATAAGCAAGACTGCAAGGGGAGACAGCGGCTGCTTTTCTCAGCGAAATCCAGAGGCCGATGATCGCCAATAGCAAGTCTATACAGGGGCAGTGTCGTTGGCGGTTCTTTCGAGTGCTAGGGGCTTTGGGCTTGACAGGCTTCAATACGGCTCAAGATGGGCTTTTTGTTGTAAAATAAGGTGTCTTTTAAACTTGTTTATCAGGTCGTTGTCATCCGAGTTCCGTGTTCATAGGTTTAGAAGGCTGGGGGGGGGCGGGGGTGGGGGAATTCCATGAGTTCAGCTCTACATAAAGGTGTATATCCTACACCCTTTTTACCGTACCTAGTTTTATGGCTAGGATCTGTGGTCTAGACAAGCAGATTCTCCAAACAAGGGTAGGGTATGATCCTCTAGGTAGGGTCCATAGTGGTTTTGCAGTTCCTGCTTACCGGGCTTGTAGGTCTGAAGGTTTCATTAGGATTCGTTGGGGTTGAGGGTGGGGGATTAGGGTTTAGGGTTGATGGTTTCGCTTGGAGGTTCATGGGATTTAGTAAGTATAAGGTTACAAGTACCTTAATTAGAGTTATAAGCGAATAGAAGCATAGTTATCTTGTTTTGTACTCGCTCTGCCGTCAAGCTCAAGCTCCGCGTGGTCTACCTCTCACAAGATTCCCCGCTCCCCACTACCCACAGCAGCCAGAGTTGAGACTTCAAGATTTACCGAAGCCCTGCCTTGTTGGGGTTCCTGAATATGCGTTCCCTGTACCAGGCTTTAAAAAGGCAGTTCAAGGGTTTGGGGTAGGTAGTGATTTTGGCCATTTTGGCACGTGAGATATTGCTGCGCGGCCCTTGACCGACCACGAGCTGCCATGCTCCGGCTACAGGTGGACTGGAACTTGTTGCAGATGGGCTTTTGCACTTCATGGCTGTGCTTAAGTGCCTTATTTAGCTTCACCTCATGGATCGAATTCTCGATTTTGGGAATGCTTGGCGGCCTAGCGAGTTTCATGCTCGGTTCGGGATGCCTGGCCTATGCATGGTCCAAGCCTCATTCATTGTCTACGCCTGCCTTCAGCTCAATGCCGATAGGCGTGCCGGTGGAGACGACGGCCGGCAGTTGTGACAGGGTTTGGGCACCATGTACTTTCTCAGCACTAAAGAGAACAAGTCCAAAGTTTCTCGTCTTCACCTGCCGCCGCAAAGCTCCCGCGGAGCTTTCGGCATGCCCTGTCGCCTCTCAGAACGCGATCCGAGCAGCTTGGGTGCAGCCAGAGGACACTTGTTGTTGCTGTTTGGCGGCCTTCGAAGAAGAAAGTGCAGTTGCCGTTCTTCCATGCGGACATGTCTTTCACGAGCACTGTATCGTGGCATGGTCGCTGACGCCTTCACGTAGCTCTGGCTCTTGCCCAGTATGTCGTAGTCATTTTAGGCCAAGGCCGGAGAATTCTTTCGACGGCGTCGTGGTGCCCAGTGCGCCTTAATTCCAAAAGGGCCACAATTGTGTAGTTCCTTCACATACCCAGATCTTCCATGTAGACAATGTTCCGGGATTTGCAATACGATTTCAGGTTGCGACATCCCACCTAGTGTTCACACAGGACTTCCCACGGTCTAGGAAGAGCAGATGGAAGGTGACAGTGGGAAGGCAACCACAAGCGACCAGCAGGGCAAACCTAAGGCTAAAGGTGGACAGAAACGCATTGGTGGAGGCGAAAGTTGTAGCAGTACCAACAGAGGTGAACTGGCCGAATCACACCTTTCCCAGAAAGATGAATGGCATTACCGATATTGCTTCCTGAGGTGCAGACTGACCTCAAAAGCGATTGAATTTGTGTGTTGTTATATGAGTTGTTCTTAGCGTTTTATGATTACCTTGGTCCGTGCGTTCTTTGTTGCGCTTTGCCCTTTTTTCTACCTTACCCCAACGGCCCACATAGCCACACAATACGTGCATTGACCCTACGGTACTTGTACCTATACAGGAACTCCTTTGAGGTCAAAGTATATACTATAAAGGTAATATAGAAGCCTAAGCAATTACCAAGATTCTTCCTAAGAGTTCGTTATTATAATCATACTATGAAGGAGCCCAAAACCTCATTCCAATTCTGAAGGCCCCTGCAATACATGGATTTAGAGTTTATAGGGTTTAGGGATGCCCTAAGCCGTAAACCATTGTACCCTGAGCGGAGCCCCTTAAAACTTCCTTCCTCAGCATTTTGCTCCAAGTTGGTTCCTGGGCACCCGGGCTGCAAGGCCCTAGGAAGTGAATCCGATTGTGACCCTAAACCGAAAGGTTTGGGGTTGGTGAAGTGTTATTAATATGTTAACATGGTATCCCCCGAAGGTTTACTTAGCAGGCAAAGGTTATATACAGCAGTAAAACCATGGGTATGATCAAGTTATGTCAAAAGCAGATTCAACAAAAGATGGGCTGGTCCGTAGAGTATTGGGGCCAATGTATATACTATCTGGCTACATGGACTCTTGGGGCAAGGGACAAATGGACCTGCTGAAATATTTGTTTTTACAGGGAGATCATTGCAAGTAACCCTTAGATTCTGAAAAACAACAAAGCATCGGCCTTTTTAGGGTTCAGGCACCCCTTCACATCTGAGATGACCGATTTCGGTGAAACCCAGGAACACAAACCGGGAAACCAAACGGAATCTGCAAGATGGTATCTGAAATGCGAAGAGCAGCCGCAACAAGAAGGACTGGGACGGTTTAGGGTTTAGGGTCTTTCACTCCGGGCGAAGTGGAAAGCCTGTTGCAAAAAGGGTCGGGACCCCTTTAAGGCTTAAGTTTCTACTATAAGGGTACATGGAGCCTTTGGGAAAGGCAAAGAGTCTAAGAGAGGGTCTGTAGAACTGTAGAAGGTGACGTCGAAGTACGCAGGTAAAGAAGCCTGCAAAGCGCAAAGGTTGGAGGTAGGGTTGCAGACATTTGTAGTAGGTAAGCAGAGCCAACCGTATTCCGAAATTACAAGACGTACCGGAAGATCTTGGTGCTTGCTCGGCTCGTCTCAGATTTCTCGTGGCCAGATGAACTTGATTCTCTGAGCCCCCAAGAAGTCTTCGTAACAAAATCAGCTACTTGCTTTAGCTACCCTAAACCCTAAACCGTAGCAAAACAAGCTACCAGAACTAGGAGATTCCTACAAAATCTTTGCTTGGCGCTTAAAGTCGATATTTTTTGGAAGACTTTGCAGAAAAGCTCGTTGTGGTCGTGCGTGTTCATGAGATCGTTGGATGGTCCGGTCCGTGGCTGTCTGAGCCCAAGGTTTGACAATCACTACCTTGGGGCATTCACCGAGTTCCCCAGTAGAATCCTTCTTGCCCTTCTTTATTTGGGGCTCCCGTTTAAAGCAGAGCTGAAGAGTAGGAAAAACGAAATCATTTCTTCAGGGATCTACTTGGGAACTAGGTTCCTGACCGAGTGCTGATCGGTTCCTTCGTATTTTCCACTTTGACGCAGAAATCAGGCGTCCGGCGCTGTGACCGTTAACCTCACAGCTGGATGCAGATCTTGGGGACCTGCTTGGTTTCGGTTTCAGGGCTTGGCGAGTGAGACTGCGATTCTCACGCAAAGCCTACACAAGGCCCAATGCAGGAACCTGATTAAGACATCCTGGTCCCAAACCCTTAGAACTCTAACCCTAATCCCTAAACCCTAAACCAAAAGCATTAGGATCCATATAGAGAACTCTAACTCTAATCCCTGAACCCTAAACCAAAAGCATCAGGAGCCATAGAGAGAACCTTGACGAAGACCCAAGGTTTCTGAATCACGTTCCTATCTTCGGTCTTGGCAGATTGACTGGGTTGCTGTTCAGGAGCTTACATGAATATACGTAGACCCCATTATTTACAGTACCATCTATATATATATATATCCATCATGGTAACTTAAAAGTCTGTTCCTTAACAGCAACCCAGTTGAAGTGTTTTCATTCGCAAGCCCTCACTGCCGTTCTGGGTGTACGGGACGGCTATGCTTGTGAGATGTTTAGTGTCTAACAATTAGGGTATAAAGCGTGTATATGCTACCACATAGTTGCTGCAGCACCGGAAGCTCGCGCGATGATCTTCCATTGCCCTTATAAGGGTCCGAGCACCTTGACAGCGCATCTACATGCATCCAAGCCTGTGCTCTTAAAAGCTTGGTAAAATTACAATGACAAATAATAATCCCTTAACGCTCCATGTGCCCATATAGTATATACTTAGGCCTTAAAGTACCTTTATCGGGACCCCTTTAAGGCTTAAGTTTCTACTATTTTGGTACATGGAGCCTTTGGGAATAGTAGGAAGCAGCAGCGCAAAATCTGAAACTGTTTCCAGGGCCAGCCCGGTCTTTGCCACAGTTCTAAATATGAACCCCAAAAAGGAACCCTAAACCCTAATCCCTATACCCTAAACCCTAAACCCCAAAAAGTAGGCGCTCGGATCTTCACTTGGCGTTGCTTGAGCTTCAGGGCTGTGGCACTTGCAGCACGCACGGTGCTCCCCAAAAGACCCTAAGCCCTATAGACCCTAAACCCTAAAACCTAAAACCAGGAGACCCTAAACCCTATAGACCCTAAGCCCTAAAGCCCAAAGCCTAAAACCCGAACCCTAAATCTAAACCGCTGCCTTCCTGCTGACATGCAGCTAAAAGTGCACAGATGCCAAAACATCATGCGAAGACCGTGGACCACCAGAGCCCGCAGACTGTTGAGACTGGTGGGTACTTGCAGAGGAACTTCGGTCAAGCCGCCTTTTAGGGTTTAGGGTTTAGCAGCACATTGAGTACTCGGGAGTTTAGGGTTCAGGTTTTAGGGTTTAGGGTTTTGTGGTTTTTCAAGATTAAGGTAATATAGGGGTCTAAATAATTACCAAGACTATCTTGGGGTTCCCTTACCATAATTATTGTATAATGGGCCCCAGAATCCTATTCAACTATTGAGGCCCCTACATTACTCGGTATTCTGCCCCGTTGTGGTTTTCCAACCTTAAGTACCTCGGCAAGAACCCAGATGATTCCTAGTGCAAGTCCTGCCAGTCTGGCTGTACGTTCGTGCTTGTCGCTTGGAAAGATTCAGGGCTTAGGGCTATAGGGTTCAAGGCTTAGTGCATTGCAGTCCCTGCTCAAAAGATAAAAATGGATATAGGGTTGCGCTGAGTTCGGATTTAGCAGCTTGGGGCCGTCAGAGTTTAGGGTTTATCCTTAACCCCAGCTTGCGCCCTACATGCCCTGAGGACTCTAAAAACCACTAAACCCTTGAACCCTTAAACCCTAAACCCAAAACCTTAAACCCTAAACTACAAACCCTAAAACCCTAAACACCGAAACCCTAAACCCGTAACCTTATAGCCTAAACCCTAAACCCCTAAATCCCTAAACCCTAAACCTCTAACCCGAAGGCTGAAGCCTGAAGCCCCGCAGGCACTGCTCTGACACCCCAAGATGTGCCAGTTTACCTTGGGTTTCGGGGTTTACCTTGGGTTTAGGGTTTAGGGTTTAGGGTTCAGGGTTTAGGGTTGGGTTCAGGGGTTTAATACAGGGGCCTAAATACTTGCCGGTACTATTTTGGGGGTTCCTTATTATTATGTATCATTATAGTATATTGGGCCCCAGAACCCTATTCTACTTATTTAAGGCCTCTATATCAGGGTTTAGGGCCAGAGCCCAGCTCTTGTTCTCAGCCCGCATTAGATTCGTTTATTTAGTCCACCTGCACCATGAAGCCACTACAACTATAAGGAAGACTTCATAGCAGCCCTGAGCCCTATATCCCCAAAAGATCCCTTATAGAACCCTTAGCAAGAAGCCCAACCCATACAGCTGGTATCCGTAACCAAAGTACCTCGTTTTTGGGTCCTTTGGACCCTAAGGTTCAGGACAACCCGAAACTCCAGAGCCACCCCATGCACTCCAGAAGCCTTCAAGTTCCTAAACAGGGCTTAGGGTTTAGTTTTTTAGGGTTTAGGGTTTAGGGAACCTCAAAACACAAAGCCCCCCCCCTCCATTCATCGAAAACCCCGTTCAGACAAAAAAAGTAATTACTCGCCCTCCGACCATAAACCCTGCACCCTGAAACAACTAAACCCTTAAGCCCTCCACCCGACAACCTGACCAATCAACTCTAAAGCCTTGAACCCGAACCCTAAACTCCAAACCTTCAAGTTCAAGGAAACTACAGGTGGGGAGTTTAGGGTCTATAGGGTTTCTATAAGGCCTCCATAAGATATATAGACCTTCCAGAAGGCTCCTATAACGGTAACTACCCACTTGAAAATGTCCTAGATCAAGGCCTAAAAACCCTTAAGCCCTGAACTCCTGCACATCGCGGCTGCCTCCTTGGACCATCAACCCTTAGCCCTAAAACCCTGAACCCTGGATCCTAAACCCAAAGCCCTCAAGCCTAAATCCTGAACCCTAAGCCCTAAACCCTAAACCCTGAACCCTAAAACCTAAGCCCTAAGCCCTAAACCCTGAACCCTAAAACCTAAGCCCCAAGCCCTAGGCCCTAAACCCTGAATCCTAAAACCTAAGCCCGCCTAAACCCTAAGCCCTAAACCCTAAGCCCTAAACCCTGAACCCTAAATCCTAAACCCTAAACCCTGAACCCTAAAACCTAAGCCCTAGACCCTAAGCCCTGAACCCTAAAACCAAAGCCCTAAACCCTAAGCCCCTAAAGCCCAAGCCCGAAACCCTCCTTGGAGGCTCTTGGCCTCACCCTTCGATTCGGCGGCCTTTGACCTGGAAGCTCCGCTGAAATGCTGTGAGCTATGCTAAGTTTAGGGTTTAGGGTTTAGGGTTTAGGGTTTAGGGTTTTCAGGTGGGTGGTTACAATTATAGGAGCTTGGTTTAGGCTTTAGGGCTTAGGGATAGAAGGTCTATATACCTTATAGAAGCCTTACAGAAGCCCTATACACCAGAAACTCCCAACCTGTAGTTTCCTTTAACTAAGGGCGTTGCCAGGAGGGGTCTATCGGTAGAGCTTAGAGGGTTTAGGGTTTAGCGGGTTTAGGGCTTAGAGGGTTTAGGGCTCAGAGGGTTTAGGGTTTAGAGGGTTCAGGGCTTAGAGGGTTTAGGGCTTATAAGGGCTTAGAGAGAAGAGGTTTTAGCGGGTTTAGAGGGTTTGGGGTTCCTTTTAAAGGGATACTATAGGGTTCTATCATCGGGTTGCCTTTCGAGTCGAAAGAGACCCTGGGAGGGTTAATTAAAGGGTTCAGCGCTTGTCGTTGGGGTTTAGGGTTCAGGGTTTAGGGTTTAGGGTTTAGGGTTAGTTCTGCAGGTTGGAGGGTCATTGGTATTTGGGGATTAGGGTCAACAGAAGTTTGACTCAGAAGCCGGCACCAGTCCATAGCCCAATGCCTGAGTAACACATGTATCTTCAACAAAAGGTATCAGATATGACCTTCAAAAATAGGCACAGCTACTTTTTGTTATTGGTGTGTTGATTATTGCTGGTCACCCCTACGGTCTGAACACCAAGGACATCCACTTAGTTCTTGCTTGGGGCGTGTCCCTGTTGAAAGGTACGTAGGTCAATGACCCCTTGAGCCCTACGCCCGAAACCCGAAACCCTAAACCCTCCATCATAAACCCTCAA